TTGACAGTTCGCTAATAATTGAGGGACCAAATCGTTCATTACCTCTTGTTTAAAATTTTATCAATTAAAACCCTTTCAGGGACCTAAAAAAAATTTAAGAACTACATTGACAGTTGGGAAACAATTGAGAAACCAAAATGGTGATTAACTCTATAAAAAATGAACAAAGTTACTTGAATGCTCACAAATTTAATTTTTGTCAATATTTTCTCAGTCGAGCTTGTTGCAGGTGATCTTTTTAATGCAATTTACTTTTCTTATATGGTTGGTTCTTATGTGATTTGTGAGTTATTACATAAGGAGCAAAGTTCACATCTTCCATAGTGATTGCAGTTTTCCTCGTTATCCAAAAAAAAAAATTAAAAAATGAACATATAGTTTATCAAAAACAATAAATAATTGAATGGACCTATCAACTTCCCCACAATTTTTTTTCAAATACATTATTTCACTTGTAAATTATAAACTATCATAGGTAACCACCACAGCATTCAACATGTAGTGGTCATACACTCATGCTTGCGTGTGCCCGCGGGTTAGTCCAATTAGTCTGACCGATTATCTTAAAGTCTTGTTTGGGTTCAACCCATTAAAAACTTTTGATTTATAAGGTCATAATTAGATTAGCTGATTGGTTGAATTCAGTCTTTTAGTATGGTTTGACTTATAGGTTCAGTTGGCTAGATACTTGACAGGAATACTTTTCCTTTTAACACTTTTTGAGTTTCTAGTAATGTTGGAATGACAATAATCAAATGTATTTCCAATGATTCTTTTGTCTCCCGACCACTCAGGTATTTCTTCGCATCTTCAGTACTTGTTGGTGCCTAAATCTGTGTTTAACAAGCTTGCCCTTTGCCTGAGAATATGACCAAAGCTATATATTATAAATCTATATGGCCCTAGTCTGCTGGGATTTGAGAAGTAAAGTTGAAATATCACTAAGTGTAGTGTGTGAATGGATAGTATAATTGCTTTAGATAATCTAAAGAAATATGAGATATGGACATTACAACTTCCTTAATTTCTTTTGTTTTGGATCTAGCATTCTTCAGTATGAGTGATGAGAAGGAAGATCAACTTTGGTGAAAGGGACTTAAAGCCCATTACTGTTGCTATTTTGGCTGCATATGTTAGAACTTAGAATATTTAATAATATTTTAGGGAAAATTATAATTTATGCACCTTCATAATATGTCAATTATCAATGTCACTACTGAATTATTAATGATGTAAATGTTGCCCCTTAATTTTCAAAACTGTATATATATTGTATTCTGTAGTGTAAATGTTGTCTTCAATTTTGAAAATGGTACATATATTGTCCCTCAATTCCTACTTTATTCTTTTCTCACGGACATTTCCATCCTAATTCCTTCTTCCTTTAAGGCCGGCAAATTATTGTATGGACCATGGTCTACACAATTGTGTGGATCATGAATATCAGGTACATTTTTAATATATTAAAAGTACATTATTTTTGTATTGAAGGTAAAATAATGTACCCTTAGTATATTAAAAATGTACTTTCAACAAATGTACTTTACGTACATAAATAATGTACCCTTAATATATTAAAAATATACTTTTTATTTATGGTCCACACAATTTTTATTTATGGTCCACACAATTGTGTGGACCATGGTCCATGCAATAATGCCGTACCATACCAAATTAATTTCCATTCGCACCGGGTCGGCTCAATTAAGGGGGTGTGCTGGGCAGATCCTAACTATAGAAAACACATTTTAAGCTCGTATCATACTCAAACTAATCCTCATTCGCATCCGGCTGACCCAATTAAAAGGTAAAATGCTGGTCAGATTGATTTTTCCATACGAGAGGAGGTTCGAACTCCCGACCTCTCTTAAGAAGTGAGAGTGCTTCTAGTATATGAATTTGCAAATCCAGCTGCTAATATACATACTGTGGGCAATGCATAGGATGTTAGGTGGCAATGGCTTAGTGCTTCTATTCAAAAAATGCAAATCCTAATTCTGGTTTATATCAACAATATAATGCTCCATCATTTGCTCCACTTTGTTATGGTTATTCACGGGGACAGCGGATTAGTGTCGACAAGGATAATGGATGTGGAAACCCCCTCCCATGTTTGTGTTTGGATGTCCCTGTTTCCTTATCTGTACTCGTATTGCCATGTCCCTTTCCAACAACCAAAAAAATGAAAAAAAGTGGTTTTTGATGTGGTTGATCAAATGCATTAGTGTGTAGCAATATACAGCTGGATATATCATATATGAATATATCAACCTCCCCTCCCAGAAATTTGATTCCCTGTTATCTGCTGATCTTGCCTTTTGAAGATTCATGTCACTCTCAGATGTTGATTGTTGAGTGGTGGGATTGGAATCCTTGGCTTTTACTTTGGGGAGTCTGTCTGTTAGTTTTCCTCTTTTTAAGTTTTAGTACTTCAACTAATACCTCACTTGAAGAAAACCAAGACCATGGAAAAACACAATTTGCAGGGCGGTCTACAGTAATTGAAGTCATAACTTTGTAGTTACATTAGTAGTCTGGACTTAACTTTGTACTTACATTAGCAGTTTGTTTATCGATGTATAGTCGAAGTTCAGACCTTGTAGTTACATTAACACTCTATTTATCGAGTTAAGTATAACAATTTATTGAAATGTGTATGATATTGTAATAAAGGGATTTTTGTGTTTAGATGATCAACTTTGTATGTGAATTTCTATGAAAAATATTACTATATTTCCAAATTTTACTCCAATCTCACAAAGTTTGGATGTTGACATTTTTATTGGACCAGAATGAAGTTACACTCCTTATTTTTACTTCTTCACTTTTACTCCATGATGTGACAGGAGATGATAAGTTATTTTTATCCCGTGGGTCCTGAGAAAAACGTCGACATCACAATTTTGAATGAGAGAGTAAAAATTGGGAGTTTTAAGTAGTATTTTTCTTTAGTAATGAAACAACAATGCATTTTATGATATAAAAGCGTGCAATAAGATCTGATTTTTCCCTTTCTCATTCCCTATGTCCGCTACTTAAACTCGACACTTTTAAAATCTAAACATAAAAAATATCAATGAAGACTTAAAATTAGTCTAGTATAACCTAAAAAAATTAAAAAATATTTTAAAAAAATATCTCAAAGAGGTTCTAAATCTATTGACCTGGTCCCCTCATTGTACGTATGTGAGCCTACTCTAGTTGATAAAACCATTTTTCCAGCTAAGAAAATTGGGATTAATTCCCCACAAAAATGTAGATACCTACAAGTGAGCCAAACAGTTGCCCTCAAACCCATCAATTAGGCAATAGCCCCATGTGTAACCGTGTTGACATTATTATATTGAATATTTAATACCTTATCCAAATATGAAATATCTCAAAAATATCTTCTACAATTTATTTATATATACATAATGATGAAAGGAATATTTTTTTTTGTAGAAATAATATCTCTTTTAATCTTTTAATTATGATAGCATTTTTCGTATTCAATAATTTATTGTCACTTTTATTAAATTATTAGGTGATAGTGTAATTATACATGGCATAATTATATCAAACTCGACTTATGTGAGACCAACTTGAGTTTCTCTTGAGACACAACCAAACACAAGGAACAGCGTTGGCCATTAGGAAGAGCGTTGGACTGTTCGTTTCTCATTATATCTCATTTTATGTGTCTGGCTCGGTTAATGATGATTGATTTAAATTATTTACAGTTTATTTTTACAGATTATTACTTCATATATTTAGTATTAATATATCAAATTTATACATTTAGAATCTATATTAAAATTATTATTAAGCCCACAAAAAAAATATTAAATAAAATAAACAAATAAAAAATAGTTTATCTGATTAATAAATATTAAATAAGACATTTAAAATGAGTCAGAAAGTATTTACCTAGTATAAATAATTTGTATTATGTAAAGAAGAGACAAGACCTTGTATGGGCGCAGCTCATACATTTTAGACTTTATTAAGACAAATTTAAAAAGTTAAAATTTTAAATTCAATTAAATTAACAATAGACGAGTAGCATTCAAAAAAAAAAAAAAAAAACAATAGACGAGTAAATACAAAAATAGAATAAAGACATTAATTCATAACCTCGGCAAATGGAATGTTTTTATACTGGGATTGTTATTATGAGTTGTGTATAAAGTCCAGGATACCACTTCCATCCATAGTAATTTTTGGAGTAAAATAAATATAAATGAAAGTCAGTGTCACAAGGGAATAGTGCAGAGGCTATCATTTTCATTCATTCAATTATCATTATGATAACTTCGCACATAGGTTACCTATTTTTTGGACTTTTTGACGAATTAATTAAGCTACATAGTAAGTATACAATTTAATCCAGAAAATTACATAAAATTTTCTGTTAGTAAACGAGCCCTCAATATTTTTAGCATAATATAAAATTTCTCAAATTAAAATGTCACGAGTTTGATTATTACGAACACTCTCTCAGTTAAACTCATTGCACACGATCTTACTAATATGGTTTATCTCACATGTGCAGTTTATTGGTTATTATACATAAGTAGAATTTACGTAATGCACATCCTAACTCTCGGATAGTAGTTGTGAGTTTCTCTCATTAAAAAAATATAAATATAATTGAGCGGTAATTTATAAAAATCCTATCATAATATATAGTATATAAATGTTAATAAGTTTTTTGAATACTAGTAAATTTTTAAAGATTATAAAAGTCTAAATTGAATACCGATAGACTTAAATAAATCCATTAATAATTATTATCATTTTTTAAAATCTTTTTTTATTGTTATACGACGTCGTTAGTTTGGTAGGCTATATACAAGGAAATATCCTTGATCAAGCTATAAAGAATAAATGAATAAAAAAGGAAACCCAAAATAAATAAGTAAAAAATAAATAATCAAATACGGAGTAAAAAACAATATTGCGTGGGACCCAATTCCACCCAGCATTGTCGTATTTCAATCCTAATTCTTGTGTATTTATCGCACTCTACTCATATTCGGTTCTTCCCTTCTTCCTTCTGAATTGCTCTCTCTTAAATTCATCATCCTGTAAATCTATGCATATAGTGCTTATGTGTGTGAGTGTGTATTGCTGTATCTATATTTGTTGTTGCTAGTTCTGGGTGATTTGGAGCTGTTTCAATTCAGTAAGTCTTTCATCTTTGCTTTAAATCAGAATCACAGCTGAAATATTGGGTTTTTCCCCTGTAAAATCGAGTATTTTCCATGTGTGTGCATGCATAATGCATGGGTATCTGTAAAGTTTGCATCTTTATCATGATTTGGTCGTTTTTCGTTTAAGATCTGCGAGGGAGGTGCACTAAAGAGTCTGGGTTTTATTGATGATGTTGAGAATTCTTTTCAAAAAACTGAAATGTTTTGCTTGTTTTTGTATGTAGGAGTGGTGGGTAGTTCTGGAAGTCCTTGAGAAAGCGGGGGAGATGAAGTGGAATTACGGGTCCAGGTCAAGGAGCCGCCACAGCTCGGCGGTGGCGGCGGAGGAGCCGTCGGAGGTGTTTCTGGGTGGTGGGTGTGATGGTTTGAGGCGGAGCTTCTGGGCTGAGATGCCCATCGAGCTGTTGAGAGAGGTGTTGATGAGGGTTGAAGAGTGTGAGGGAAAGTGGCCCTTGAGGAAAAGTGTGGTGGCTTGTGCTGGGGTTTGTAGGAGCTGGAGGGAGATCTTGAAGGAGGTGGTTCAGACCCCTGAAGTTAGTGGCAGAATCACTTTCCCCATTGCAGTAAAGCAGGTCAGTCTGCTCTCTCTCTCTGTTAATTTGGGATTGAAGTAATCCTTGTGGTGTTTTAGTATTCATCGCGATTCGAGTTGTTCTTCGAGAATGGTGAGATTGTACTGCTTTTGATATAGATAGTTTGTGTTTTTGGTGGAATTGTGATGTGTTAGTATTGCTTGTGATTCGAGTTATGCTAGGAGAGTGATGAGATTGTACTGCTTTTGGTAAATGGCTGTTAGCTGAGGCCTTAAGGTTCTTGGCTTTGATAGAGATATAAGTTGGTTATTGTATTTTTCTTTTTTGCTGTTTTAATGTTATGTGTCTGATGCACCGGTTTATTGTGGATTAGAAATTACGGGTGGCATAGAATCGAAATGGTTCAATTATGTTTTTCACTATTTATAGGTCTAGAGTGAGTATAGAACACGGCGATTTGTATCTTTAAAAGTTAGATTTTGGCACAAAGAAGGGTGGATGAAGTAGGTATTTTTATGCTTTCGTTTCCAGTGTTCTTGTCACCTTAAAAGTTTCTGTATATTGGTTGCAGCCTGGCCCGAGAGACACTATGATGCAGTGCTTTCTAAAGCGGAGCAACACTTCACAGACGTTTCATCTTTACCTCAATTTGTCTCAAGGTAGGCATTTCTTATTCCGGTTCCATTTAGGCCAGTGTTATACTTGTGTTTCTCTTCCCCACTGAAAGCCGGGGGGAAAAGCTTATGGGGTTGTTGAAACCCTAGGCCTGTTAGGAGTGGGCTCATTATGCTATAGCTTATTCCTGTATAAATAGTTGATACCTGTACAGCTCTAGCCAGACAATACATTGAATCCTTTCATTCTTCTATATTATTTAACATGGTATCAGAGCATTATGAAGGTTAAACAATGCTTATGTAGTTATTATGAATATCCCGATTTACTCCATCTGATTGTTGTGGCAGCATTGACTGATGACGGGAAGTTTCTGCTTGCGGCTCGCAAGTATAGGCGAACAACGTGCACTGACTACATTATATCTCTCCATGCCGGTGATATGTCAAAGGCAAGTGGCAATTATCTAGGAAAATTGAGGTGGGTCGTGCGATTTGCTGTAAAACTAATTGACTAGAATATTAAGAATGTGGAAGGGCTAACTAGAAGAAACTTTTTCCGTTTTCCTAGGTCGAATTTTCTCGGAACCAAGTTTACAGTGTATGATGCTTCACCGCCCGTTACAAGAGCTAAAATGGTGAGAAGTCACAATACTAGCCCGGGGGCCTTGAAACATATCTTCCCTAGAGTACCCGTTGGAAACTATGAAGTTGCTCACATTTCATATGAGTTGAATGGACTTGCAGCCAGGTATAATTTTGAATTGTTTACGCCTGATTGAAAAACCAATCTGGCCAGCACTTTGCCCCTTAATTGGGCTGGCCCGATGCGAAACGGGGAATAGTCTGGGTATGGTACGGGCTTAAATGTGCTTCCTATAGTTAGGACCTGTTCAGAACACCTCGTGGTCTAACAAAAAAAAAACATACAAAGACTCAAGTGCTCGAGGGTAGAAATATCTTATCAATATTCTCTTATGCCAACCAGGGGACCACGGAAAATGCAGTGTGTTATGGATACTATCCCCGCATCTTCGATTAAACCGGGAGGTGTAGCTCCCACGCAGACCGACTTTCCAATTTCGAGCGGTGATTCGTTTCCAACAATACCCTTTTTCAGATCAAAATCAATGTGCTCGGAGAAACTCCTGTCCAGATCATCGGAGAGGCAAACGGATGGATCGCTAGTTTTAAGAAACAAGGCTCCCAGATGGCACGAGCAGCTCCAGTGCTGGTGCCTAAACTTTCATGGACGGGTAACCGTTGCTTCGGTGAAAAACTTTCAGTTGGTAGCTTCTCCCGAGAATGGGGTGGCGGTGCCCGAATGTGAGAAGGTCATTCTACAGTTCGGGAAAGTAGCGAAGGATGTCTTCACAATGGATTTCCGCTACCCGTTATCGCCATTTCTTGCATTTGCCATCTGTCTTAGCAACTTCGACTCCAAGTTAGCTTGTGAATAACGAGGATTGGGAGGGGTAAAGATGAGATTGTATCACTCTGCTATTATCTTCTGCACTGGACTTCTTAATAATGGTGGAAACTGGAAAGTAGGGTAACCTTTACTACTGTAAATTCTTCCTTGTATATATACTCTGCTCCCCTTTTTCTTTGAAGTTGTGAAGATAATTTTCGGTTTTCGCCACCATTGTTCTTGCATCTTTTGGTCTCATTTGATTCATTTCCTTCTTCCTGGGTTGAATGATTTTTGTATATAAACTGTAACATCAACTTGTGGTGGCATGGAATATGCTAGCTGGAATGAAAACGCTCGCCATTGCTTCATTTCTTGTCACTGTCTTATCAATGTTAGCCTGTCTCTGTTGCCCTAAACTATAGGGAGTAAATTCTTTATGGCCTGGTAAAATAGTTAGTCTATCAGCTAATTTTGACTTATTTGACCACTATTAATTGTTTGGTTTGGTTAAAAAATTAATATAAGTGTTTGGTTAATTAGTTTTTTGTAACTTCAAAATGTTAAAATTCAAAAAGTTGTTCAAAGCAACTTTTTCAATTAGCTTTTGAGAAAGGGATTATACCAAACAGTTAATTTATCAAACATCTTTCTACAATTAATTAATGTTATCAATTAGTTATATTCTCTAATTAATCCAAACAGCTATTAGCTAATAGCCGTTTACCATATAGGGCCTATGTTTTGGTTTTTTAGAAAAAATGATCATATAAGCTCTTAAACTTTATTTTAAAAGTCAATTAATCACCTCAATTTTTAAAAATGCAATTATATCCTTTAACATATTAAGTCAATAAACTCAAAAATCGGTAAATGACCTGCTAGGTCCATCTCCGGCGAGAATCCGACGGCCGATGACTATACGAATCAGCTTGCCCCTCATCTAAAAAAAAAAAAAAAAAAAATTCAACGGCGTCCACAAAAAACTCAAACTCCTCTGCAACATACCATCTCTCCGACCCTCTCTTCCATTTTATCAAGAATTTTTATTTTTAATTTTAAATCAACAAAAATCATTGTTGGGGTTGCTCTTACGCGTCCTATTAATTAAAACATAAAAGACAATTTGGGTGAGCAGAAAAATCTCTCAAATGTTCTTATCCATTGCAAGCCTGTACCCAGCTAGTTTTCTTGCATAACAATAATGTCTGTCTACTCATTTTTGTCTCTGTTGTACAGTGAGATGTGTGGGATTGTATTATTATTGTCCCAGCATGTGTTTAGCTCTTGCCTGTGTGTTGATGTTTATCCAATTTTCTTGAAGTTCTACTTGAGAAAATAAAAAATTCATAGATAAAGAAACATTTCTGAAGAAAAATGCTTCCCAGTATGTTTGGAAATTCGAAAAATAATTTCTGAAAATCATTTTTCAGGTTCCCAGTATTTGACAAGAGGAGGAAAATGAGTGAATCATAAGTAGGACCAAAATTTTAATTAGGAACTATGAAGATAACAAGCCAAAAAAGAGTAATATTCTAAGAAAGATTAGACAGAATATACAAAATTTTGGTTATATATATATATTTTTCCTCATCTTTCATAATGTTCTGGATAGCCTACCACTAAATTCAAAAGACAGAAGCTCTTATTCTCTATTCATTTTCTCTCTTGCTATTTGTAACTTGAACAAGCAAGCATGCGGTTTATCAGAAATTGCCTTAAGACTCGTCTAAAACATGATCGAATTACTCACATTTGGAGCCTCGAAAACTCTGAACTTGCTGCTGAAATGTCATCGGAAGTTTCTTTGGTTTTCCTGGTGTCGCCTTTGGAAGATGATGGGTCCCGGCTGATGGCGGGTGGAACTCGCTGAGCGGGAGCGGAACATACTGGTACGACTGATCGGATTTGGACAGCTGGGGCGATGGCCCTTGCGCAGGGCACCCGGGTTCTTTCCAGCCACGGTCTGGTCGAATATGAAGGGACTGTGGTCCTGCTTGGTCGCGAAGAAAAACTAGGAGTTCTTGGAACATTGAGTGTGGAAGTAGCGTTTCTGTTCCTTGGAGATGTTTCGGGTGGAACTATTGTGGGACCCCTTGTTGGTCGTGGAGAGCTAGACCTCCATGCGTGTGTGGCTTGAGCTCGAGATGGCAAGAAGCTCGAGTAGTTTGCGTTTTGTTGGTGTAACACGGGCTGATTCATCCCGGGGTTGTTTTGCAGAAAGCCGGGAGAGAGCCAACTGAATTCTTCGCCGTTACAAGTTTGTGCTCGGGCCCTCATGCTGGCATACTCGTTTGGATATTTCAGAGCATCGCCCTGAGAACCGCTGGCAATGGAGGATTGGCTGATCCTCGGGCAACCGGAATTCATATCCTTGTTCCGCCACTCTTCTTCAACTTGGCTGTTTTCTTCTATTTCTTCTATTCTAACCCGAGAATTATTAGAACAAGCCGGTACCAAATCGCCAGACATGTAGAAAAATGGACCACTTTGTATCAACGGGACAACAGGCTCTCGCTCCCTCGGGAAGATATATGGACCGATGCCAGACTGGAAAATGGACTGTACAAAAGGGAAAATTTGAGGCCCGGAGATGGACGAGGGAGCTGAAGGCGAGCCCAGGAGGTAGCTTGGAAGCGTCACTCCATGATGCCAATTGTTATATGTAGACACGTCTGGGGAGAGAGGAAAATACGTGTAATTTTGATGCTGCAGTCTGTCGATCGATCTGCTGACATGATACGGGATCACGTCGTTCTTAACAGGACCCTTTAGCGGTCTCCTTCTTTCCGGTAATTTAAATTTGGCAAGGTAGCGAGCAACGGTTACTTGCTCTTGCTCATCCTTTCCTCCATCAGACGAAGAGCAGCCCGAAGAATCTTGCTGTGACACTACACATAAATACACGGAATAACTTTAGATAAAACCACAAGAATTTGTATGTGTAATAGGGATACTTTTTTGGGTTAGACCACGAGGTGTCCTGAGCAGGCCCTAACTGTAGGAGGCACCTTTGAGCCCGTACCATACTCAGACTAATCCCCGTTCGCACCGGGCCGGCCCAATTAAGGGGCAAAGTGCTGGCCAGATTGGTTTTTCCATACGAGAGAGGTTCGAACTCCCGACCTCTCTTAAGGGACAAGAGTGCACGGCCACTCACGCCAACCAAACTGGTTTGTAATAGGGATACTCAAGGATATGTATCTACTTACGGTTCTTCAAGGAAAACCAAGCAGCCATTGCAGCACTTTTTTGTGCTTGCTTCTTGGTTTTTGCCGGCTCTCCTTTGAAACTCATCCCAGCAAGTTCGACCGAGCAAGTAAAAAGTGGAGCACATCCTGGCCCAGATCTAACAGTCGTATAAACTGGAAGATTTAACCCGGCCCTGTGAGCAGTTTCTTGAAGCAAATTTTTGTAAACTCCCGTCTCATCCTGCATATGCAAAGTCGAGAAAACGATGCAACATGTCACTGTTGTTCACACAAATTTTTTTTTTTTAAAGAATCCCAAGTGTTTGAAGGCGTAAAACAAGATAATAAGGAAATGAAAGGAACAATAATCAAGCAATGGAGAAGTAGTACCAAAACTCTTGCAGCTAATGCTCTTGAAGGGCCTCTCTGTGAGAGTGTTTTAAGCGCAATCTCAGCGGAAGCATGTTCTGCTTGTCTCAAGGTCGAGAAGAAGTTTGGGCTCTCGAAGATTTCGCCGTTAAAATTTACTTTGGCTTTGAAGCGAGGGGCATGATCAGGTCCTTCTCGTATACATGAGTAGGATGGCAAGTTAAAGCAGCTTCTCTGAGCTAATTCTTGAAGTTGGTTCTTATACATCCCTGACACAAAACACTATCACATACGTATCTATGATTAAAAATCGCATCCGATATACGAAAACAAAGAGATTATGAACTTCATCACTTCAAACATCAATTCAAGAAATTCAACAGAAACTATTCAATTCAATTCCCAATAAATCCAGGAAAGAACAGACTAAAGAATAACCATCTTTGAATGACGTGGGAAACCTGCAGCCAATACCCGAGGGTATGCACTGGGTAAACCGGTCTTGTAACCCTAGCCAGCAAAGGACCAGAAAGAGGTAAACCAGCCTAGGTTGCCCAGCTCAAACCAAGAAAGGCTAATAGGCAAAAGATAATTTAAACGAGCAACTAGGTTCCTTTTCAAGCCATTCACCAAGCTGAACAACTAAGGAGCAAAAGATATGAAACTAATGATCCAATCATTTAAATTCTAAACCTAATTGATCCAAGCTCCAGCATCTTCTGCAAAAACAAGTACCCCAAAATAAAGTATATTTTGCCTGAGACTCTGAGAGATTTTTACCTGCTAACCTGCATATTCTAATCAAAATAAAGTATTATTTTAAAGAATATTCAAACTCCACCTCGGCCACACCGTCTAATAAGATGACTTCTCCTGCCAAACCTCACAAAACCGCCTCCTGATACTCTCCTAATTGAAAAGGGTCACACAAAGATGCCATAGAACACACTTCACAAGACTGGGTATTAAGAGCATATACTAATAATTGTTTTTTTTTAATCTTCAATAACTGTGCATTCAATAGAGACTCTCAAACTCAATTCACATAGCAAAAGGGTAATAATTAAAAGCCAAAAACCTCCAATTCAAGCGGTAAGATCAGTTCCCAAATTGCAAATGGATGAATAACAGTATAAAAATCTCACCTTTACGATGAAAATGGGAACTGGAGCTCAGGTGATGTAAAATGGCGTCATGGGAACGGGAAAAGTAGAAGCTCCGGCGAAGACGGCGGCGAGAGGGATCTGTAGGAGGTGGGTGAGAAGATCTAAACAGCAAACTTAACTTCCATAGGCTTCTATGATACGAATTTATTTGAGTGCTTAAATACACAGCGAGTATTTCTATGCTTCTTTCTGAATTCTGATGCGCCCTTTTTCAATCTTTCTGCGATTCTATTCACGGATCTTTAACACTGATGAAAGGTGAAGAGAGAGAAAGCTGCCTCTTTTTTTTTTTTTTTTTCCATTTTCATTTTAACTCAGCCATAAAGTGGTGTGTATTAAAAGGTTCTCTGCAACTTTATACCGATTGCATTCAAAAGTTCAATTATGTCCACTGTAGATTTCAAGGCAATATCTTCAATTAAGGACTCACTTTTCTCTCACTATTTTTTTTTGAAAAAGGAAAATCAATGATTTGATCCCTCAATTGTTAGCGAAATATCAATGTAGTTCCTTAATCGTGAAATTATCGATTTAGTCCCTGGAAATAACTGTTTTTAGTTGATTTGCCCCTCCGACCGTTTCCCGTTGAAAATCCGGCGAAGGCTCCGATTTGGCATGGGTAATTTAGTCTTTTCACACCATCTTCTTTATCCTTCTTGACTAAGCTTCACCAGAAAACGTTCGTCGGCCGGAAAATGGAGCCAAGTCCATCTATGACGCTCGGCGGGCAATACCTTGTGTTCACTTCCGTGGCGGAGCTGGAATCTGACGCCATTATTGAAGCTCTCAGACCTAAACTCAAAACCCCTATCTATTCCATCGGCACTGCAATACCTAATTACTTCCCTATCCAAGGCGATGGCGATGAAATTAGCTGCCCAGATTACCTCACCTGGCTTGATGCTCAACCCGCGAATTCTGTGTTGTATATTTCTCAGGGAAGCTTTCTCTCACTTTCGGCTGGGCAGTTGGAAGAGATCGTCGTCGGCGTCTGTGAAAGCGGAGTTCGTTTCTTCTGGGTGGCGCGTGAAAACACGGAGCGGCTGAGGGAGAGAGGCGGTGGTGGCGAGCAAGGGTTAATAGTGTCGTGGTGTGATCAGCTGAGGGTGTTGCACCACCGTTCTGTTGGCGGCTTTTGGTCGCATTGCGGGTGGAACTCTACCAAAGAAGGGGCGTTCGCCGGCGTTCATTTTCTTGCTTTTCCGATAGCTCTTGATCAGTTCACAAACTGCAAGCAGATTGTGGAGGATTGGAAGATTGGGTGGAAGGTGAAGAAGGGGTGTGATAATGATGGTATAGTGAGAAGAAGAGAAATTGCACAACTTCTGAGGAGATTTATGGGGTCTGAGTGTAATGAAAGTAAAGAAGCAATTCCGGTCAGGCAGGCAGCGAACCAGCAGATCGGCTCAGTAGCATATTTCGTGATAGATGGACATGGCTCCATTTTCCGGCCGACGAACGTTTTCCGGTGAAGCTTAGTCAGGGAGGATGAAGAAGATGGTGTGAAAAGACTAAATTACCCATGCCAAATCGGAGCCTTCGCTGGATTTTCAACGGGAAACGGTCGGAGGGACCAAATCAACTAAAAACAGTTATTTTCAGGGACTAAATCGATGATTTCGCGATTAAGGGACTACATTGATATTTCGCTAACAATTGAGGGAGCAAATCGTTGATTTTCCCTTTGAAAAATGGTGAAATAGGCTCACGAACTTTAAATAAAGAGTCAATTAGGCCCTTAAACTTTTTAAATGTGTAATTACACTTATCCACAATTTATTTAGGTGTAATGAAGTTCAAAAATAGGTTAATGACCTGTTATTACAGGTCATTAAGGTTCAGGCCACCTTCCGACAAATTTTTCGATAAAAAAAATTTGACCGACGGAATTTCCGACAAAAAAAAGTGACCGGCGATCACTGAGCATGTTATTAACTTGTTTTTTGGGCTTCATTGCACCTAAATGAATTGTTGATGGGTGTAATTGCACATTTAAAAAGTTTAGGGACCTAATTGACTTTAAAGCTAAAGTTTGATGACCTATTTGACCCTTTTTCCTAGAAAGAATGTGTGTTAGCAATTAGTATATTAGTATATAATATTATATATAAAGGAAAATTTGTGGTTTTAGTCTATTTTTGAAAATTTGTGATTTTAGTCTATTAGTTATGCTTAAATTGTAAACTTAGTTTATAAATTATTGATCTATATAACTTTTCTTATTTAATTATGTTGAAAGTGGTTGTTTATGTTGTAAAATATAATTATGGACATTATTCTAGTATTAATGATATGATTGGTAATGACTTTATATTTATGGTATGATCTTGTAATAGCTTGCTGTAATGATGTAGAGTTTGATGATGAATAAGAAATCATTTTATTTGTTCTTTATTTTCTTCTTCCTATTATTACTGTTCTTCGCGAGTTAAAGGCCTGCAAACAAACTTGCAATACAACAGTTTCAATCTAATACATATAATTTTTGTTAACATTAACAATTTATTTTGATTTGTCAAATTATTAGAAGACAAATTGGTTATTTTGTACTATTTTTCTAAGTATAAAAAATAAAATTTTCAAATTGATAAGTTCAAGTGAAGGTTGAGTTTATTGTAATGTTGATTACACGAGAATACCTTAGTCTATAATTTAGACATAATTAATAGACTATAATTGTCAATTTTTTTTTTTTCTAATTTCAGGAAAGCAAATTCTTTAGTCCTGTTTTATATATTTTATTTTTCACACTCTGAGAAAATATATAATATGAATGTCTCTATTGCACTCACATATCTTTATCTTGTAAGAGAAATTGAGTCGTTATACTAATTATTTTCAATAGTTTATTTTCACTGATGAACAATATAATCAACATTTAAAGTAATTTTTGTTTCATAAACTTTAAATTCAATTCATTCTCAATTCTTTTTAATAAACTAAATCAGTTGTTAAATTGGTTATCATGAACATAATTTTCAAAATCTTTATCACATTACAATTTTAATCATGTCACATTACAATTTCGATCTTTAAATTATAGACAACAAAAAAATATTTTATAATTATTCATTATGAGAAGTCAAAACCGGAATATGATTAAAAATCTAAAAATATTTTATATTTATACCTACATTAAACATTTTTGTAAGATAAAATGATTAATTCATTAAATCAGAAGCAAGACAGTTGACAAGAAAATTCCATCTCATAGTCTTGTAATCAACATTACAAGTTACAACAAACCCAACATTCACTTGAAATCATCATTGTGAAATTTGAAAAGCTTATTTTATTATGCTTGGAATTTTTTTTTACAAAATGATCAATTTGTCCTCTAATAATTTGACAAATCAAAATAAAATTTTAATTTTAACAAAATGTATAAGTAATGGATTAAAACAAACACTTTCAACATAATTAAAGGGAAAAATTTGTATAGAGTAATAACTTATGGACTAAGTATACAATTTAGGCATAATTAATTGACTATAAGTTTATAACTACCGTTTTCCTTATATAAATAATTTGTTGTTAACTCATGAATTATTGTATTAGGTATTTGATTATTTATTATGATTTATTAATTTATATTATGTTTAATAAATTACAAATACATTAATGGGTGTTTAATTATATATCTAAATTATTTTAATATACATTTATTAATTTTTATTTGAATTTAAAAATTTTAAACCCCTCGACCTTACTCCTAAAAGAAGTTGTTTTCCAACTAAAATCAAGCCGTTTTAGGGCTTGATTTCTTTTTTTTTTTTTTTTTTCTAAATTTTTTGGTAAATTTATATATAAAAGTTAAGAATTTATTGTGTCTCATGAGCTTAAAGACGGGTTCAAAACTTAATTATAGAAATAGGAATTTAAACATATTTTTCAGTTTTCCGAGAAAAAACCAAAACTAAAACACCGAAAAGAATAAAACGAAAAACAGTTAATCTGTATTTCAGTACAAGATATGCGTTATAGAATCTTAAAGTTGCATAATTGTTTATCCAGTCCCACGGTTTATATTTATTCCAAATTCAACCCCCCTACTTTCTTATTCTCCAATCTCCAGAGTGAAAAGACAGTCAGACACGGAGTATAAAGCTAAGCTGAATCATCAAGCCTCGCGTTGAAGACCCTAACTAGTCAAAGAATCTCAAAGACGCAAGATCAAACTTCGCTTCGTTCACTGAGGTATGCAAATCCTGTTACGCTATTAGCTTTTTCTTAGTTTCCTTTAGTAGAATCCACTAACAAATAAATAATCGAAATGAATTGAAGCTCTGTCAGGGTAGAAAGGCATTAGAGACATCAAAAGTTGCTGAATATTTCTGTTATTTTGACAATTATCTGCAATAGAAGTACGGTGTAGTTATTTTGTGCTTTTTTTCGCATGTTATAAGAAGGAAATGGGTGTTTTAGGAGGAGTTTTGATGAATGTTCGTTGTTCTCTATGTTGATCTTGATATAGTTATACGATCTGGGCTCTTGTTTGCCATTTTTTCTTACAGGGGTGATTGTGTACTGTATTGAGCTAATTGTCATTTTTTCTTACTGGGGTTTGTTTGTATGGAATCAGTCATGGCAAGGAAGATGTTAAATGATGACGAGATGAATAAACCAAGTGAGGAAGAGGCGCACTATGATTTTGATTTGTTTGTGATTGGGGCAGGGAGTGGTGGTGTTCGTGCTTCTCGATTTTCAGCTCAATATGGAGCTAAGGTATGTAGTAAAGATGTGGTGCATTTATCTTCCATAGCAGTGTGTTGGAATTCGGTGTGCTTGCTGTTCATACTTCATATATGATATTTTTGAGAACTTTAAAGGGATGAATTCTAGTTATCTTCTTGCTGAGAAATGGTGTGTGTTCTCTTTTTATTTTTCGTGGTGCAATGATGGTGGACACAAGCGTATTGTGGGCATTTTGTTTCTTTTACAAAATTGATTTGATATGGATGCATGCGGTCAATAAATTAGTATTAGCACAATACATTTTTGAAGCTCGGGGGAATCAATACTGGCTTCCTACTCTTCCTTTCTGTTAGTGTCTAGTGCATCCATGTCTGATAATATTCTTGAATGTATGGTATGTACTATGCAGCTCTCAATCCCTCTTTATTTTTTGCATATTAAAAGGGAGAATAGTTAATACATATTTCTTGGGAATATTTTCCTCTGTCCTATAAATATATTTATTCTTATTTACATGTTCCCTTTGGATTTTGCCTTGCCTTCCACTCAAGAAATTTTAAATGACATTTGAAGGTTGGAATCTGTGAGCTTCCGTTTCATCCTATCAGCTCTGAAGTTAGTGGAGGAGTTGGTGGAACGTAAGCTTCTGAGCCTGTAATTTCTATAAGATTTTCTGTAGCTTCATGCACCTGTGATCTTTCTATCCTATGCTTGTGACCGATATGTGGTATTCTATAAAAGCAGTAAACACCAATATAAATACTTATTGGAAATAAACAAACTCTGATGAGGTATGAGAGTTTTTAAGTTCTACTTCTTTAGAAGCTGGTATTTCTTGTTTGAAAATAAGGCTGTCTTGTAATGTTAATATGATACTTTATTAGTAGTATCTGGAGCTAAAATCTCTAGTTTTTAACTTTTTATTATACATCGTTTAGTCAAGATGTAAGTTTGAACTTTAACTGAAACTAGGAGTGTAAGACTAATCTCAAATATTTCAGGTGCGTGATTCGAGGTTGTGTTCCTAAAAAGATTTTGGTGTATGGAGCTAACTTTGGTCCTGAACTTGAGGTGAGACCAGAACCCTTTTAAGTGAAACATGGCATTACTTGTTACAGTTTCATGAGAGATTTGTTGCCTTGGACCCTTGGTTTATAAGCGCGGGACTATTTATTGTTTTGTTATTTTGTATGAAACTATGAATAGGACTTAAGCAGATAAATTAATTCTTTGGCAAATTACTTATTCAAGAATGTAGAAATATAGACTATTGAATGACAGTCATATAAAGTCAATATTTTGGACTTTAAAGAATTTTATTTTACTTTAAATGGTTCAAACAATGAACCATATATAAAACTAGTTTTTACCGACTCCAAGCTAATCCTTTATGCTATATAAGTTTGTATATGATATATGAAGTATATGTAATAACTGAAGTTCTACTCGTCTTTTTTGGTTGGCTTATAGAGGCTGGGCAGATTTGGTTAATATATCATAGCACCTATTCTCTTACTAGACATTTATTTTTGAGTAAATATGACAGTTCCTATGCTGAACTCCATGCTTTCTCCAGTTTCTTTTGGAACCTTTTTGTTTGAGGGTAATCACAGTCCACTTTTGCACCGATATCAGTAATGAATGCATATGTATGTGCATGGTGTACATATGTATATGTATGTTTGCTGTTGGTTTGCATCCTGGCACTCAATATTATCTGGAGTTCTGGACTAAGTACATTGCGACTTGTATTTTGCATCACCATTGGAATATGGGAACCAGAACCAGAAGTAGTTACTTGCTTAACAAAACATTCCACATCTTACTAAATGAATTCACATGCGAACTGACTCTTAGGTGTTTCTCCATAAAATTTGGTCCATGTATTGACAACTGTGGTTGTTCCCCATGTTGGGTCCAATGCTTGCAGAGAACCATATGCACATGCATCTAGAAGTCCATTTATTAGCCCTTCTGTTTCATGCCTCTAGTACCTTTTGCAGCTTTCTTCTTTGGGTTTACACTCAACTTCTGTTAAAACTTCCTCTTTGTCTTTTATTGGCTTGTCCTGGAACATGCATCTGGAAAACATCATCCAATCATTTTGCTTATAAGCTTCTCTTGCATAAAATACCTATGATTCCCTATGGCTTTGGCTTGTAGGATGCGAGGAATTATGGATGGGATGTGAATGAGAGGCCTAACTTCAATTGGAAGACACTTTTGCATAAGAAGGTCAGTGTAAATTCATGTTTACTTCCTTTGCTTGATACAGGGTGCAGAAGTTCTAATTCTGCAGTTCTCCCATTTAGACAGCAGGTTTGTTTTTCATTTGTGTTTGGAAAGAAAGGTATATACATGGGAGAAATGGTAAACTGTGTTTTGGAATAATCAAAGCATAGGACCATTTGTTTTGTCTTAGTAACCTATGTGTAACATTCTTATTCTCTGGCATGATTTTGCATTTGTTGTTTAATGGTTTCAGTGCAATAATCTCTCAATTTGTTATTATGTTCGTTCACGTGCAGACTGAGGAAATTGTTCGATTAAATGGAATCTACAAGCGTCTTCTTGCCAATGTTAAACTCTTTGAAGGAGAGGGAAGGGTAATTGGTCCAAATGAAGTTGAGGTAATCCAACTGGATGGGACCAAGATAAGCTATTCTGCTAAAAACATTCTAATTGCAACAGGCAGTAGGGCTCAGCGTATTGCGATCCCAGGGCAGGTACAGTGTTTTTCCTCTCTCCTGGTAGCTCTGTGATTTTTTATTTTTTGTTTGGCACACTCATAGTTGATGCTACTATCTGTGTGTTTGTCAATAGTTTTTAATCTAGTGTCCACTTTGCGAGTTTACTTTGGTCAGATCACGATAGATTGGTTGTTTTATTGCCTATGTGCCCACTGTGGCTCACTCTGTGTGTGTGTGTTTATTTGTTCTTTTCTTTTTTAAATTTAATTTTATTCATTCTATGTTGGTTGTGTGCATATAGGAGCTGGCCATTACCTCAGATGAGGCATTGAGCTTGGAAGATCTACCAAGACGAGTTGTGATACTTGGTGGAGGGTATCTACATCATCACTATTGGTATAGTATTTTTCCAAGTTTCTTTTGAGTACGATTGACATATTCTTCCTTTGGGTAAAGGTATATTGCTGTTGAGTTTGCTTCAATATGGCGTGGTATGGGTGCAAAAGTAGATCTATGCTTCCGCAAGGAACTTCCACTGAGGTGACCTGAAAACTTTCTTATTGTGAACTGATTCTATTTCCTGACTTTTGGGGCTAAGGACTTTGCAACTTATATAACTTCTCCATCCTTGAGAAATGTTTCTTGAATTTAAAAAGTAATTCTCTTAAAATAAGAAAAACCACTTTTTTGAGCCACCATGAGTTTCTTCATCAGAGAACAGCAATAAGGACTTTAGCATCTAATATATGTTTTGTTTTAGTTTATGCTACAACACCAAAATTTTCACATGCAATGGAACTTGTGTGACATGGAAACTTTCCTGCAGAGGTTTTGATGATGAAATGCGAGCTGTAGTTGCAAGGAACCTAGAAGGCAGGGGAATCAATATGCATCCTTGCACAACATTGACTGAGGTACTTAAATTCTGTTGGCTATGTAAGCCTGTAAGATTGCAAACTCTTTTGGTAATCTTGTTCAAGGGAGACTGTATTGCTTTATTTCAACATTTTAGAATATGTTGAGTTCCTTGTGCAACATTGGCTAAGGTACTTAAAATTCTGTTGGCTATGCAAGGTTGCAGACTATATAGATAGCCTTGTCATACAGATTGCTTTATTTGAAAATACTAGAATAGTTACTGTATCCTTTTGAGTTCTGGAGTGCTACCTAAATTCAATGTTTATATAAATATATTACATAAACTCAAAAAAAGTTTAGGATTCCTAACGGTACTAAGTAGTTGCCTTAATATTCTAGTTTCCTTGTACTTTAGGAATCCCCAAATTCCTCTGGTTCTTAACTCCCCTATTGTGTATCACTAATTTAGTAGCAATATACGGAGTATTAATTATTTTTTTTTCTCTTCACTAACAATTGAGTTTTATTACTGAATGTAAGTAATATCTCCATTGTTCTTGGTTTTATCTCTTATAGCTTCCATCTGGCTGGTGGATGGTGTCTCTTTGCCACCTATCAGACTGCAGACTCATGATTCTCAATATAAATTTTTTAGTGAATTTTGTAATTCTATCAAAAGGAAACTTTATTGCTTGCTTTTAATGTTATTTTTACTGAAATTTAACTTATTTTCTCTTTTTGTTGCTTAACTCTTAAAAGAAAATCTAATCTGAACGTAAATGATGGCTTGGTTACTCAGCTGGCTAAAACAGAAGACGGCATCAGAGCACGGACTGACCATGGTGAAGACTTGCTGGCAGATGTTGTGCTGTTTGCCACTGGTAATTCCTTGCCACATGTATACTTAATGGAGATATGTTTATGAAAATGTTTATATGGTTCAAGGTGTGTATTTGAGTGATGGAAGGAAACATTTGCTCTTTATTTTTGCATAATATTGCTACCTCTGATTTTGATTCCCAAATGGTTAGGGGCATGCTAAAACCTTAGTAACCTGCATATTGGTACAGTCATTTAATAATTCAACAATCCAAACTGCTCCGTTTTTCCTTTGAGTGTAAATCAACTTGAAAAGAATCCAATTCCTACAATTGTAATGCTATTATTCATTGTACCTTGAACTTTTCATTTTGATTGACATTCTTTTTGAAATATCATTGAAAGAACTATCTCTGGAGTAAATTATAATGGAATAGTGGAATATATTTCTGAACTCATCTAAAGATGCATTCAGCAACTAGGAAGTGCACCCACTTTTTGCCCCCATTCTTGGAAATAAAGCATTCTATAAACTACGTAAGCATGTAATATTGTTTGAAATTTCTGACAATTGACAACAGGTTCTGGTGTGCAATACCACTGAATATATTATTCATAAGTGAATTAGTAATTGTTTTATATGAAACTCTGTCATGGATAAGGTGGTCATTATTGCAATTATTATTATTATTATTGTTATTATTATTATTATTATTATTATTATTATTACTGTTATTGTTATTGTTATTTTTATTGTTATTGTTATTCTTAATTTCTTATTCTTATTATTGTTATTGTTATTTTTATTCCTATTGTTATTCTTATTTTGTTATTATTATTATTATTGTTGTTGTTGTTGTTGGGAACCAAGTGCTGGAGAAGAAAAGTCTTAGAAAGAGTTACAATTGCACGCTCTTTTCAGTGGTTTCTTGAGTTGTAGTAGTGTCTGATTGACCAGTAGCGGTTTACTTGCTGATATGTGAAAACACCTTAAACAGCAGTATTTTTCTCAAATTTCAATTGTCAAGATTGCAATATTAAAAAAAATGCCTGCCTTGGGATCTTAACATTGTTGCTTGGGGTCTCCAAGGTTGCCCTTGGCCCATTATACTCAATTCCTGGTGTCTTGTTTATTTTTGTGGGGCTAGGGTTTGGGATTGGCTGATTGGGTGTTAAGTTGCTTGCCGTTATATAAATGAATTTCTCCTAGGCCATATTTTGGCAATCTGATCTTCTCAATCATAGGTCGCATACCTAACTCAAAAAGGCTGAATTTGGAAGCTGTTGGTGTTGAGCTTGACAAGACTGGAGCTGTGAAGGTCATTTTTCTGTATTCTTGCTTTTGTTGTTTTGTGCAATAGTTTACTTTTTCCTTGCATGAAGGCAATGAAAGTGTGAATGAAGAAAATTGCACACACTCTTCATACACCTGGACTTCCTTTTTCTTTTTCCTTCATGACAATTTCCCTCTCTTTTCAGGTGGATGAGTTCTCCCGCACTAATATACCCAGCATATGGGCAATTGGTGATGTCACTAACCGGATGAATCTTACTCCTGTTGCTTTGATGGAAGGAACCTTTTTTGCGGTATTCTTTTTTGCTTGGCCCTTCAATCACTTTACTCATACATTATCTTAGTTACTGTCTTCTAAGAATAAGTGATTTGTTAACTGAATCCATTATCTTAGTTACTATCTTTTGTCTTCCCCGCAGAAAACTGTTTTTGCTGGTGAACCCACAAAGCCTGACTATACAAATATCCCTTGTGCTGTATTCTGGTATTTACATCTTTCATCTTTGGAATATGGTTATATTTATTTGGAGTTTATAAATGATTTAATGGAACTTTGTGTTGCTCTACAGCATACCACCACTTTCTGTAGTGGGGCTTAGTGAGGAGGAGGCTATTGAGAAAGCCAATGGGGATATTGCAGTGTACACTTCTTCATTCAATCCGATGAAGAACACCATTTCTGGGTATGACTTTTACGACTGTTGATGATTTTATAAGCTTGTCATTTAACTAGTTCAGTTGCTTACATGACATTCTTTCTTCCAAATTTTTGCTTATGTGAAATGGACTGTTAGTGAGCTCTTGACTACAAAGACGTAACATTTCACTTTTCAGATGGTTGAGAATGCTTTCAAAACCGGAGAATTATTTTTCCATGAAACATATTTTGATAAATGAAATTGCATATTAATTTGTATTAACTGTCCTCCACAATCCCCTTCATTAGAACATTTTTTTTGTTTTTGTTTGAACATTTCTCAACAGTCTCATGTGGGGGTATTCATTTATATTATTGACTTCTCAATATAAAAAAACATAATTAAAAAAAAAGTGTTGGCATCTTCTATACCTATATGCAATTAAATCATATGCATACTCTTTTCAAATTAAGAATTGTGCCCGCTCAAATCCAGAAGGTTTCCCCTTTCTAGTTGATGTACTTGATCTGAAAGGAAAAAAATCTTAGCTTCTTCCCACTTTTCCTTTAAATCTAGTTTTCTAAATTTTTGTATTAAAAGCCCACTATATATAGATCATAGGTGATTGAGTTGATATTGTTTGAGTCTTTGAGCCTTTACATAATTTTAGTGCTTCCATCTAGTTGTCACAATTGCTGATTCTCCAGTGTCAATCCATACAGTTCATGTATGTAGAAGTTCTAGATCTTTTGGATGACTGTTGCCTTGTCACTTTCCACATTGCATGAAATGATAATTCAGATTAATTCTAATAACACAAACAATTTGATGCATGGTTACTGGTGTGACTTGTTACATTCCATATCATGTTAGGCGGCAAGAGAAGTCAGTTATGAAGCTTATTGTTGACAAGGAGACAGATAAAGTTATTGGAGTATCAATGTGTGGTCCTGATGCACCTGAAATTATGCAGGTACATGTCCTTTGCTATCTATGCTGTATTACTTTGATTTGATTACCTGAATCATGATTTGGGTTGAATGTTAAGACATGAAGTTTTCAATCCATTTCTAATAACAAGTTTTGGGAATGGTATTTTGTGGTATGGTTATTAGTCTATCATTGCAATTTGCAGAATATAGAACTTTAAGGGTTCAAATATAATGGGTTTTTCTTTTTATTGTGTTTTTGTTGGGGGATGTTTTGCATTGTAAATTTATATATTGTTGAAGCTCTTTGAGTGCTCCCCAGCCTACCAATTACTGTCATTTGGCTAAAGAAATAGAATGTGTTTTGAATTATCCTTCTACAGGGCATTGCTGTTGCACTAAAATGTGGAGCAACGAAGGCACAATTTGATGCCACGGTGAGTTTGGATATCTCTCTGCTTGCTGGTTTTATCTTTGTGAACTTTATTAGAGATTGCTAAAGCTGCATTGAGGTGTTGGACTAATTGTACCAGATCAAATTTAATCCCTTCCCAGACCATTTAAAAGGAATATTAGCTACTCTGTATTATTTTAATTCGAGAGTTTCTGGGCCGGTGGCTCTATTATTTAATTGACTTGTAAACTAGTGGATAAAGTAACAACACATTCGGGCATGCATATGTTCCCTACATTTTTGGTATGATAGATGCCTGATGGGTTGTAACAGAGTCCTAGTAAGATCCAAATTTACTCGACTCTGTGTGTGTGTGTGTTCAGTCGAGTTGGTGGCTTCTTCAGAAGAAGCTTTTTTGAAAAGCTTCAATTTGGAGCCTTCTTAAAAAGCTTATTCATATTTCTACTGTTTGGCCCGGCTATTGTTTTTTGGAGCAGACCAGCTCCAATATCATACCGGCCAAACAACCACTACCCCTCTCTATGATCCCTATGAAGCGCTTTTGATGTATTTATTCTCTTTTCAACATCACTAAATTTATTTCATATGCTGTATGTCTCTCTAAGATGTGCTACATTTTCTCTTCTTTTCCAGGTGGGCATACACCCTTCAGCTGCAGAAGAGTTTGTGACAATGCGATCTGTAACGAGGGTCGTTCCTGGTGCTCGCAAACCAAAGACAAACCTGTGAGGGTAAGGCAAAAACAACATAGAAGACAAACACTTTAAGGAAAAAGGAATTTTGCTACAGTAAATTTGTTTCATACTTGGATAGCACTGCTTGTGGGAAGATTATGATCCAAAATATGCCTACAGCAGCATTTAGCTGTATGATGTAAGCTTTGGGTTGTCACAGGAAACTTGTTTTGCAATGATGTCAGTGTCCAGAAATTGTTTCATCATTTTGTTGGCTTTATAATTGACAGAATTTGATTATAGATTCATAATAATATTGAATAAGGTGGCTTAGTGCCTGGTTTGTCTTCTTCTATTCTTTCATTTTCCACTGTGTGTTTCAATAGAAATAACCTTAGCCAGGGTTGTATTTCAATTAGATGGAACAAACCCTATCCTCATTGGTATACTATTTTTCTGGGTCGGACCACAAGTTTCTTTAGTCAATTAACAATTGCACACCAAGATTAATCATGTGTTTGGTTGGACATTACATGTGGCAAAATACACTCTTATGAATTTTAAGGTAACAATAGATCGAATTCGAGACCTTTGATTAAACTAGAAGAGACTCACGGGTCATCTCATCTCATCCATATTTATGGTTTCAGTTGGTATACTATCTCATCCACATTTATGGTTTCAATTGGTACTATGAGTTACGGGGTTCATACGATTGTTTCATCCCAATTAAAAAGTTTGTCCTATTAAGGCTAATGTGTCATCCCGCACCATGAACTATAACGGATTTTTTATGTTGTATCATGACCTTTCATAACTATTGTTTCGATTCACAAATCATGAAATTTTTTTCACCTATAATTTTTTACAGATTTCTAGGTTACTATGATGACATGGCACATGTTATTAGCTAATGTGGACCTTCAAGTCAACCCCCAGAATCAATCTTGAAATGCTTTCTTCTCTTCCACATTTTTGAGAATTTTTAAACACTGTTAATAATAATCCAAGTTATGGCGGATTTCGGCCAAAAGTCGCATGCAATCTTGATATGTTATCCACTACAAGGCCACGTCATCCCCTCCGTCCACCTTGCTTGCCTGATGGCGAAGAAAGGCTTCGCTGTCACCTTCATCAACACCCATTCGGTGCACTACCACCTCACCAAGAGCAACCGTCGGGACGACGACATGTTCTTCGGCATCCACAACCCCGACCTTGACATCTGCTACGTCACAATCTCCGACGGTCTCCCGTCGGAGTGGGATAGGGCGATGAACCATGACCAGTTCATGGCCCCGCGCGCGCTCCTACATGTCTGGATCAAGATCTTTTTTCCTTTTGTTTCTTTGTTTTTTTTTTTTGTTTTTTTGTTTTTTGTTTTTTTTTTTTTTTAATGAAAGTTTTTCCTTTAGTTTCTTATTATTGTATTCATACTCCAACATTGAAAAACTCCTACAAGGTGTTATGTTGTTTCTTCTTAAATTTCTGAGTGATGAAGTTTACTTGCACGCAGGTCGCACGTTCACATATAGATTTGACGAGGATCAGTAAGCGTACCTAAGATAAAGCTAGTCATGGTGAGGTTTGTTCGCTCAATGAAGACTATGTGGCCTATCTACTTATCAGAGGATCAGTAAGCGTACCTAAGATAATGCTAGCCATGGTGAGGTTTGTTCGCTCAATGAAGACTATGTGGCCTGTCTACTTATTAGTGACTTTCGTAGGTTTCCGACAAAGTGTCTTTAATTTTTTGATTTTTGAATCTATTGAGTGAATGGATATGAAGTGATCGCCTAAATTATATTGGAGTTAAATAAATTACTGCCGTGTTTAGCAGGAATGGGGGTTGCAGGTAGGCTGATTTCGGTGTTGGTTGCGACTTGCGATTCAACACCATACTACTATGTAGGTATATATGCAGTTAGTTTTCTTAAAAACGAATCGATGGATGTATGTATGTTGTTTGGTTGGTTAGTTGCAAGGGGAGCAAAAGTAGGGCGGCTTAAGAAGAGGAATGTAAAACTTGGGATGCTCCTCCTGGCGATAAACATTTGTATTACAGTTAGAAGAAAAAAAAAGTCCATGTCAGCAGATTACTTGTAACTTGTAAAAAATTCTAGGGCGGAAAAAATTTAATGGTTTGTGGATCAAAACATCAGTTATGAAAGGTCCCAGATATAAGAATCTGTTATAGTTCATGGTGTGGGATGACACTTTAGCCTCTTATTAATTATTATGTGAGATACTGCAGATATTTAATGTTGTATATCATATTATACTTGATATATATATATATATATATAAAACCATATAGCTAGGTGTATAAGTTGTATATATAAGGTATGTTGACACTAGTCTGAGTACCCGATACAATTTGAATTTGCTATATTTGTGTGTTTGTATTACATCATAATTGCACGAGTTTGAATTGTTAAGATATCAGTTACATTTATTTAAAAGTTTAGTAGCCTATATATATAAAACTTTGGCTTTGTTTGGTAGAACTTATAATAGTTTATTTTAAACTACAAATAAGTTATAAGTTCTGTTTGGTAAAATATGGAGAATTTAAAATAATAACTTATTTTAAAATGCTATTCTAAGTAGCGTTTCAAAATAAGCTCATGATTTTTTAACTTTTTTTTTTATTTCTTTATTAATTTATAAAAATGACACATCTACTCTTTATTAATCAAAATCCTATTATCTTAGTTTATCTTTTAATTTTATATATTTTTACACTTATTAGCTATTTTAACAATTAAAAAAACAATTAATTTTATCAAACACTTTAATTTCAATTAGTTAGTTTATTAGCTACTAACTTTAAGCTCTCGGAGTATTATGTAGTAGTAGTGATGCATGTAACATGTCATGCTTGCTTAAGCAAAATTCATTGTGAAAATGTAGACTCCCTTAATTAGCTTGTCTCTAACAAAAGGCAATATAATATAATATTATTTAATTTCCACGTACTACTTTTGGGTTGGAAAGCTATTATATTGTTATGGATTTTGCATGCTTTAACGTATGTAATTGATCAACCTTTTACCGTGTCCTTTTCGTATGCATATCCATATATTGCTTTTCTATATATGAATTTAATATATTTGCATTGTTGCCTCCAACCTTTTTAAATGACCACATCTTATCATTGTTTTCTTTCACTTTAATCATATCAACATTATTTGTGTACCCTTCAATTCCTAATTATTTTTGGAGTCGTTACTCACTCAAAGTGGTGTCTATTTGATATGACCAAATTTTTAGAATCGTTACTCACTTGAAGTGGTGTCTATTTGATACGACCAAATTTTTGGAATCGTTACTCACTCGAAGTGGTGTCTATTTGATATGAGATCATATCAAAAGCATTAGCATACTACTCTGAATCCTGTTAAGTTACAGAGTTTATAGCACACCAAACTAATTTATCTTTCATGAGCATAAGAGAATTAGGGAGAGAACTAAACACCCGAATCCCCTTATTATGCTAATAGAACAAACTCTAGTCACCCGAACCTGAATCCCTTATTTGGGAGAAGAGACCAAGGTTCAAACGTTAACAACGGCAGTGTAGGAATTATGTTAAAAGTGAGCAGATTCCTTGTGCGTACCCACATTTGGTCTTGTCTGCTGAGTTATTGCTTGAATCATCGTTATTTACATCTTTCCAAATGTTTTGTCGAGTTGAAGGGTCTTGGAGTTGAAAATTCAACTTTTGGGAGAAGAACAAACTGTAGTCCTATTACATATCTAGGCTCCCTAATGACAAACTACCAATATTCACTCCCTAATCTTTGTGTACATGATCATACCTTTTTGTATTTGTACAATTCAATTGTCTATGCTATTTGAGTTATATTGGGTACTACTAAGGACACATTTGCTTCATGAGTTTACACATCAGGACTGAAAATCAAAATCATAGTTAGTGTTTGATTGATAACTTTTTAAAATACAACTATGAGATTTGATTATACATTCAATAAAAATCTCATTCCCTAATTAAAAATGAGTATCATTCCATATTATTGGTAATTTGATTAAATTTGGATTAGTGTTTTTAGATTTTTGTTTAGATTTTTTTTTTTTTTGTTCATATCGGTGTTTTGGATGTCATTATATTAGGATCAATTGCATTCATTTTTTATTTTTGTATTTTTAAAACATTTATTCCCATTATATGGTCATACATAACCAAACATCAATATTGGCAAGTTGGTAATCATTCTAATTTCACCCTACTACCAAACATGCAAAATACTTTCACCAAAATTCATTATCATTACCAAGTATTTGATTCCATCCCGATTTTTATTCCCTTGTGCGAACCAAACACCCCATAATACTTGTTCTCAGAGTTAACACTCAATTTAGTCCTCGATTATAGAGATTTTTCTCAATTTAGTCTTAAATGACTTTTTGCGTTTAATTGTGTCCTGAATTTCGATGTTTTAATTACCTAATTGACTCCTCTGTCTCTATTGGCTATTAGAATCAAAGGCTAAATCAAGAAAAAAAATCACTACAGTCAATGACTAAATTGGGTAAAATCACTGTAGTCGATGATTAAATTAAATAAATCCACTATAATCGATGACTAAATTAAATTAGGTAAATCTACTATAGTCGAGGACAAAACTGGATATTAGTAGATGAGAAATTACCAAACTATCTTAACAGATAACTCAATTAGGTAAAATTATCAAAATTTAAGATCCAATTAAACACAAAAAGTCATTTAAAACAAAATCCAAAAAACTAAATTGTGTATTAACTCATTGTTCTCCCAATATCTAAATAACTAGCTAGATATATCATCATAAGTGGTTTGTACCCACCGATACCGATAAAAATTTCCCAAAATTTTATAAAAGATATTCACTTTATTAATTTCATATAGAATAATCATTTTGTGTAGACTGTAGGAGTTTCCCATATGGGGGCTATAGCAACCTCTATACTTAAAGCCAAAAATGGTGCCCCCATCACTACATTAATTATTTTATTATTTAGAAGATCCTTTACTTCACACCTTCAAAATGGACTTTTGCTAATGAAAAGAAGACAAACTTAAAAAATACTTAGTATTGTAGTTTTCTTGGAAGATAGCTTTTTATATATATGGCTATCTGTCCACAACAATATAATGTGAATCGAGATAGGGAAAAGATAAAACAGCAGTCTTAATCTCCAACTCGTGACCAAATAATAATGATTTTGATTTGATTTTATGTTATGAAGTATGAACATTCCATCCTAAATCGCAAATTTCTAACATTGTTGTTTTGTTTCGATTGGTCTCATGAGAAATTTAGTGCATAAATTAAGATTGAATAGTGATTTTAG